GAACCATATCCATTTTTTTTGTCTCTTATCCAAGTACGTTCTAGTGAATATCCCTTATATGTAAATCAGTTGTAACATAATAACATCAATGAGAATACAGGATAAAAGTGTAAGAGTGGCGACTAACGTAATAGTAAATAAATTACTAAATTATCCTTCCACACTTTGAAGTATCCAGGGAGTTTCCCACCGTCTGTATTTACATGTTTTGAATGCTCTCTCTTTCACGTCGTTGTTGATCAATTATAAAAGTCAAAAGAGAAACATTCAACTTATTTCGACGTAATCTCTGCTTGTTGAAAGAAACTCGTTGACTCCATATATGTCACCAGAGTTATAAAAATGACTCAAAAGCATAACAGGCCAATGATCACTTCACTGAAAGATTCCTTTGAATTTACAATATTTTAATTACTTTTGTTGCAATGATGTTAGTCTCAGTCTCCCCGGCTAAATAAAAAGTTGCATACGTAGCGTTTCGCCTCATTGCCAAGCAACTTAAATCTAATTCTTGTAGTCTCTGTAGAAATTCGCCTTGATTTATGTTCTGTATCTCCTATAGAAGGACAAGCTTCTTTAGACGCCGTCTTGTCACTACTGTGGCCATGCTTCATTTCTTATGTCGCTGTTCGCTGAAACAATGCCTCCTCCCTAGACTAGGACTCTTTAACAATTAACAGCGGTTACGTTCGTTTCAAAAATAAAAACGGCTACACGCTCAGTTCCAAATTTAGGATTGGTAACGGCCAGGACCAGGGTAACATTAGCATCTTGATTACACTAAAACTGTTAGTTTAGCGTTAACTGTACTTAGAAGGCAAACCACGAATCGCATTTCTCCTAATTTTTTTCATTTTCATTTCTAACTGAAACATATTGCAAGTACAGTGTACTTAAAATTAACTGCTTTCAGTCAAAGAAACAGATATATCGGAAACTTGGAAGTACTGCAAAGTTACACAAGGGTAATCAGCGTTAGCCATTCCTAATTTTGGCATTATAAACTAGAGAGAAGGCATCATCCATTGCCACTCATCCAATAGTGCGATTTCACGGTTTCTCTTATAACGTACTTCATCTCCAAAGTGTAGAGTTCATTTCTGCAGCAAGAAGTCGCGAAACACGGATCTTCGGATTCACTTTCCGAGAACACTAACCACTCAGCCACTCTTGATCCTATTAGAAATAGAAAACTTGCTAAAAATATATAAAGCAGACGTTCTTGTTTTGGTTTACTCGTTTTCCAGATGCCACTAAATATAAAAAAGTAATATTTTTTACAATTAGTCATGTATTTTTAAATGTGCAGTCATATTTTCTCTTTATTTATAGACTAATATATTTAAACCGATAGAACTGAAAATCGCAGCCTTATATCTGGACGAAATAACATAAGTTTATTATGATTTTAAATATTTAGTCCCGAGATGAATGGGTGGATTATTTTTAAGTAGCAACAAAATTAACAATAAAATAAACGTTTCCTTTTCTCTTTTTTATTAAAATGATATTCTGGCAGAGAACATAAATGTTTATTGAAACATAATCTGATGAAATATATTATATATATATATATTTAAAGGAATACCTCGGTAAGGAACATTATACGTTTTAGAGGATTGGAAACTATGCTGAGATAATAATATTGTTAACACTTTCCATTTCGTCAGAGTCCTGTCATCTAATACTTACTAAAAACAAAAATTAAACAGTTTGCTAGTTTTCGAACATTAAATTTGATATCAGTAGAGTTTACAGTAAAAGCTACTTTTGTTGTTGTTTTTATTAAATAAAGTTTTACTCATACAAGTTCACGTAATAGTAAGTTGGATAAAGAGGGAAATGTTTTTTGTATTGTATTATCATGTTTTGTAATTTCCCTGTAATTACAAAAAAAAAGACAAAAAACAGTTTTTTTTAAATTGTGGAGCACAGTGAACAAATTATTGATTTTTAAAGGAAAGCTGTCTTTTTACGTTTGAGTTGCTGAAAATTTTACGACTTATGCTTATTAAGATAACATTTTTTATTTGCCATCCTTCTTAAAAATACAAATAAAAATTGCTTTCCTAAAGAAGTATCAAGCAAGAGATTTTAAACTTGTTAAAATACTGGTGTAGCTAACCAGAGGCATAATACTAGTTGATATTGTACACCAAGTTCAAGCATTACTTTTTACAGAAATATAGTAAACTAGCGTGTAGCCCCTCAAAAATGACGGGGCAAGTACTACCACCCCCACCTCATAATATACCCTAACCTCGCATTTCATAGCTAACTGAAATATATAAATTTGGTGAAATCACCCTTGACCAACAAAGAGGCAGAAAAGTGCAGTCGAGGTAGCCAGACGTCGGTAAATTCCTTTGTGAGCCAATCAAAATTAGGATCATTCATGAAATTAATTCGTGGCGTATTCATAGGATAATTATTGGAAAAAATTAGTTAAATTAACAACTTCTAATATATAGAAAAGCCAGTGCGTTTTGTTAACACAACGTTCCAACAATGGTTTTTAAAACATGTTGCTTAGCAACAAAAGTATAACCTAATGTTGTTGTTAGTTTATGTACTGAAAGTATAAAATGAAATTTATATACAACAAAACTTGAAAAATATGTGTTGATTTCTTAATTTAGAGTCTTCGTTGATTAAAGAGATCTGTTTTTTAATTAAAAAATGTTGGTGATATAACAGAAAATAGCCTAATTCAGAAACGATTTAAGTTTAAAATTGAATCGATATTTTTACTTTCATGATAATTTTATGCATTTGGCTCTAGGCTAGGTGACCCCACACTACGCCTTTACTTTAGGATTATTATACCAACACTCACTACACTTACAAGGTTTCATGGCCCCCTTGCATCCCCGTCACTAAAATCGTAATGGGCAGACAGTAATCGATAAATGCATTTTGGCTTTTACGACTCCTCCTATTTCGAGAAATCAAGCGTGATGTGACGTGATAGACGCTGTCTTTCATATAGGTTAGATGCAAATGGTCGTAATCAGTAGTGGACGAATACAAAAATGGAACAACAAGTTCTATTGGTTATGATGGACAATATACATAAAATATTACAGCTTCTACGGATATCGAGATTAGAGCACTATAGGTGATTAAATAAAAAATAAGTATGTAGATAAAAAATCTATTTCTGAATATTTTTGTTCTAAATCTGCTGTCATGACGGAATACTTTGGTATTACATAGTTTTGAAATAGATATGGATGAATACCCAATAATTATTCCCATTGGTCTGTTTTGATCACGTGGCACCTGTAAAATCTCTATTAATGCACTTATGAGTTTTCACACGATGACACGCACACATTAGCCAGAGAACTCCGCTATTTTCAAGAATCCATTGAGCACGCACTAATATCCAGCATGGAGTAGCTGTAATCTATAAGTCATTTCGTACACTTCACGAGCAAGTCGCGTGGCAGTTGACATCTGACATTCGATCTAATAACAAAAGAAAGTGGATATCGGATAAGGTATTAATATTTCAGTTTAGAATTGAAATGTTAAGTCCACTGAATATAATGTATCTTACGTGACTAGCTATAGTAAACTTTCAGGTAATAAAGTTTTACAATTGTTGTATCTGTACCAGTCATGTTCCGCGTTCATCATACAAGATTCGATTTCAGCCAGTTGTGTACATCGCTAGATTTACTCAATTTTACACTAGTGAACACACTGCATGCACCATCCGGCTGCAAACGAAAGCGAATATTAATATATGCTCTCTGCTTTGGTATATTTTGAACAGAAAACGAAGCGTAAGAACTTAGAGTGAAAGTAATTAATAGAAGACACCGGATAAAACAACAATAACAAACAAACAGATCCTTCTCGCTTTAATAAATAGAAAGCCCGGCATGGCCAGATGGTTAGGGCGCTTGTCTCGTAATATGACGATAGCAGTTTGAATCCCCGTCCCACCAAACATGCTCG